ACCGGGATCAAATATACTCGATTTGGTACGTAGTGTTACCCAGAGTCACAGTGTTACGGTACGTAAATTACCTCCGGGCTGGGATACTTTTCTTCAGACTATGGCTGACCTAAACATACCGTCTACATGTCAGGATTACAGAATGATCTAGCAAGTAGAATTGTGTAACACAGAGGACTGATAGGTAATGTATACCGGACCTTAGAATGGCCGGACTAACGTACCAAAGAATAGTCAGGAATAGCCGAGGTCAAGGGATACAGAAAGAGACACAACGATAAGGAAAAGCCAGGAGTTAGGGATGCCAGAAAACAGGGAAGTCAAAAACAATGCCAAAGTCAAAATACCAGAATAACCAGAATCAATAACGCGCTCTCGGACAACCACAAGGGAAACCATGACAGGGCACTGAGCAGGATGAGAACTGGGCCTAAATACTCCTTCTCTAGATCTGATAGGTTGTAACCGGCCTTTGACCCCAAAGGCATTTACCAGGTTCCCATTTGCATAATTGCTGCTCAGCATTAACCCTTCTGTGGATTTGGTTCCTGCTCGGCTAACCACATTTTTATAAGTGGATGAATATGTGACACTACAGTTGTGGGCAACACTTCAAATAGAGACAATTTGGAACAACTGGAATTGCAGAGCCTTCCAAGTGAGACTCGGGAAGTAACACCTCATTTTCAAAAAAGACAAACATTACCAAATATTTCTTTTAGCACCCCGGGATTAACTACATCTCATGGTTATTTGCTACCTAAGAAGCGCCCACGTATACTAAAGCAGCCTGCTGATTGGTTGAATTTGTGATGTTTATTCATTGTTTTTCTGTCTAAAACATTTGATGATTATTGATTTTCCTACATATATTGTATTACAACTTTTGCCTATGAATATTGTATTGACTTTATTTTTGTCTAATAAATATTGTTATATGAGTTACTTTGCCATTTTTTATTTCTCAGATGTATATAAACTTGTCCTCTAGGTTTGTTCTATACTTTCAAAACAGGACCCAGACACATCAAAAACATGTCCAGACTTTATTCAGTAATATCCCTCCTCTAAATGAATTTCAAAATAAATAAATAAATTAAAAATACAACCATAAGATGTAGTACCTCATACAACCATATGGTGGCTGTAACGGATCACCTGGCACCCCGACCGTTGAAGGATGCTCCTAGCGCTTCCTAATGGGTTCCAAGCACTCCAGCTGACACCATAACCACTGTAGACTCCTTCAGAGAGCAAGACAAGAACAAGCTCTTACAAGAGCTCAATGATTATAGCAAGGGAATATGCAGAGCATAGCAATCCCTTATAGCAGATTCCCCCAATAAGAGACAGGACTCAGATTGAGGGTGAAGTCGAACTGACTGTACTGGCACATACAGCCTCTTTTATTCACATTCTACAACCATAGTACTGCCCACAGGGTTTTGCAGAACAACCAATCAATACGAACAATACACTCAGGCACTCCCACACAAAATCCTCCCCTCTGCCTGTGATATAATTACTGAACACAATGGTCTAACTTAATTATCACAGGCAGGAAAATAGACAGTTTTACACAATATTCATAACTCTAAAAGTATACATCACATTCACATAAAACTTACATTTTCATACTCCATGCATAGTCCAAATACAAACATACGTCAAAATCATACAAATTGGTCCAGTGGGTCAAACGTTAGTTGAAAGTCCCTTTGTGACCATCTGCAAGCATGGCTTGGGTGTGGTAAGCCAATTACCTCCAGCATACAGAAAATGGCTCTATTCAGAACAGTAAAAATACATAAAAATACATCATTCCTATTATACTTAACAGAACCCCTACATTCAACCTATCCCCAGATAGCTTGGATCTGAGCACTCACTATATCCGAACCGCGCTCAGATACCACAACCACAGTCAAATCGCCATGGGGTTAAAACACAGCAAGAGCTGATGAGAGACAGAGGAGTGGCAAAACAGCAAGTTCCAACTGGTCTGGCAGTGTGCCTGGGACAACACCCTGCTGGAACAATAGACAGGAAACGGGGGAGGGGAAGAGACACATCTTCCCATGGATTCAAATGGGCAGAAACAGTCTTTTAGAAGCTAATAAGACCCAAATAGTCTTTTTAAATGGCAATATACCACAGGGCCGTAGTCATGAGGGTGGAGGCTGGCAATCAGGCTCCTCCAACAGCCAGGGGCAAAGGACAGTTGGTCATATAAAAATCCAGTGACAAAAGGCATTTTGTCACAGTGGCACATTCTATGAACATTGTAAAGGGTCATGTCTATAACATGCCATTGGCGTGGTTTCATTAAAATGGACGCTAATACATAATAAATCGCAAGGGACATGGTTATAACGGGCTGTGTGTGTGTGGATTCATAAAAATGGCCGTTACTACTTCAAAAAGCGCAAGGGGTGGGGTCTGCGCAGTAAAGAGCGGTGTCTATAACACACTGTTCGCGTGGTTTCATTAAAATGAACGCTAATACGTAATCAAGCGCAAGTGGCGGGGCCTTAAGGCGCTGTGGGCATGGATTTAGAAAAATGCCCATTACTACGTCAACAATTGACAGGGGTGGGGCCATAATGTGCATTGGGTGTGGTTTACTAAAAAAAAGGGGCAGACACCCATCAATGCGTAATGGGTGGGGTCATATTGTGCAAGGGGCGTGGTTTCATGAAAAGGGGCTGGGCACCCATAACTCCACGGGGGGCAGAGTCATATTGCGCAGTGGGCGTGGTTTCATAAAGGGGCGTGGTTTCCTAAAAAGGGGCATGGTTTCATAAAAATGGGCGGGGCACCTGTCAAAAGTTAATTTGATGACTTGCACGGCTACTTAGTACTAAGGTTGGTTTGACCATGGCTGCAGTCCGTACTTGTGGGCGTCCTGCAAAATCCCTCAATTGAAAATACCTAAAGTGATCTTTAGTGGTTAGCGGGGCTAGGGTTTTTAAGTTGTTGAAGGTTCTAATTGTGCCTGCCTGATACAGTTGGTGGTAGCGCTGTACGCCTGTATTTTCAATGTTTCAGAAGTCTCTAGCGGTTAGTCCTGGTGTAAATGCCTTGTTACGGAGTTATGGCGTTAGGGGTGATACTGGGTGGGACAGGGTGTATTTGTGTGTTGTGGAGACCCCTATCCTAATTAAATTCAAGATAGCAGGGCAGCTTGTGCGAAGCTCTTATCTATCGACTCGGAGTACCCATATCCAGTTATGAAAAACAATATGTTCCATTTCTAACACCTTGTCAATTTGCAATATCTCTTAAAGACAAAGTACACTGTTTAAGAAATACAACATTTCATTCTAAAACTTGTAGTATTTGCATTTGCCCATAACAGTGGGAGATCTGTACTCATGAGTAGTGTTTCTAGGTCTACCCATCTGTGGTGTCTGGTGGTGAGTGCCATTCTATAATTTGTGCTAGTAGCGCCGAAAAATAATGGAGATGGAGGTTAGGTATTCCCAGGCCTCCTCTGTGTGGGAGGAGGTTCATCTTAACACTGTGTAATCTTCCAATCCATGATATGGGTTTTTCATGCCATTTATCTAGGTCTTTTAGTAGGGTATTTATTATACGCTGGTGGTTTTCAGCATATAAATCATTAGGGTTAATTGCCAGCTTGACACCGAGGTGTTTGATGGGTCGGTGAGGGTGAGTAGGACGTCGTCGGCGTATGCGGATGTTATCAAGCCTTTAAATGAGAACCCCACAGGTAAAGATGGGGTAGATTACCTAAACCTTAACTGCGAAAAATAGACATTTGTTCTTTTCCAAGAGCCACCTTAGAGAAAAAGTAATAAAAAATAAATAAATACATTAAACGGTACTCCCCTTTTGGACATAAATTAATTATCATTGTAAATATGCAAATAAGTACTGTGGCGGAACCAGCCTCGCCACTGGGCATTGGAGAATACTGATTACCAGCCTCCTGCCCTGTGACTATGGCCCCATGTTGAAACGCTTGATATTCCCCTGCAAAAACCATGGAGCCCATTTGTATAACGAAAGACTATGTGAAAGACTTTGGCTCCATGGCAATTGAACTGTATGTATGTGATCTGAGCGCCATTCAGTAATAATGTGCGCTCAGATCTAAGCTATCTAGGGATATGTTGAATGTACCTGTTTTATGCAAGAGCTGCACAGTTATATATTTTTATGTATTTTATTGTATTTTGCTACCATGTGGCTAATGGAGTTTTGCCTCTGTCCTTGGAGATAATTGGATTACTTCCCAATTAGCTCCAGGATAGAAGACTCTGTGGAACTGGTTTTGGGCAGAAAAGCCATGCTTCATTTGGTCACAAAGAACGTTGATCTAACTTTTGACCCACTGGACCAATTTTTATGATTTTGAAGTATGTTGGTAATTGGAGTATGCTGATTCTGAGTGAGTTTTGTGAATGTGATGCATACTTTTAAAGTTATGAATATTGTGTAAAACTGTGTATTTTCCTGCCTGTGATAAATATATTAACCCATTGTGTAAGGTAATTGGATCACAGGCAGAGGGGAGGATTTTGTGTGGGAGTGTCTGAGTGTATTGTACGTGTTTATTGGTTGTTCTTCAAAACC